ATCCCACCCAATCCCAGTCTTCCTTTTCAAGATGCCCAATTGCTAAATTACCTTCTCTTTTTTTCCTCACTAATCCAGGCCAGGCAACACATGTACATTTCTTGTGGCTTGAGATCATGGACACTGCTTAGCTGAGTGTTCATGGTACAGCCAGCCCAGACATGGTGATGCTAAAACTGCTGAAAATCTTTAGAGTGCCTCTCTTGCAGCCTAGAGAGCCACCACTGGTTTCAGAGAGTACAAGAGATACACCTTATTTAAAAAAAAATATTTATGTGTTACTTCAAAAATCGGGCACCCCCCCCAACAATTAGAAGTTGTTTTTTTTTTAGCATGGGAAAAACATTATTTTGTCTAACATGTCCCTTCTCTGATGCTTCTCAATTCTCCATCCCTAAATAGGCTGAGGCAAACACCTAAGAAATGAAATTTCAGTCTGAAATGCTGAAATGTGACAAAGTTATACTAAACTGAGCCTGGTCGGTGTGTAGTGCTCAGGACCTCTGTTTGCAGGCCACAGCACTGTCTGGTTCTTAAACAATGTTGCAAAGTGAAATTCCAAGGTAAGGTCGGGTTGCCAATGTGCCAGGTAAGAAGCTCTGACTGACATAATGCAATGACATTTGAAGAGAAAGCTACATACAGAGGAAGAAATTATGTCATTTATTGCTGACATGGCTTTCCCTTGTCTCTCTGTGTTTCTCACTCTTTATTTTTTCCATTTTGGACTCAGAAACGAATACAAATTAGTTTAATAAAATTTCCTAACTGAGATGCAAAATTATTTTAAAATATACCATGCAGCTGAAATGTCATGGTTAATTTTAATCTGCAGCATGTGGCTAATGTCCTTGGGCTGTTTCAATGGTGCAGAAGATTGTAATTATTCACCTGTTAAAGTAAATGCAGCTTTAACAAGTCTGATCACAGTTGAAAAGGAGGAGTGGAGAGGATAGGTAGACAGATGCTGCTTCAGTGGGTCATCTGTGAACAATGCCTTTGTAACTCTTTCAGAGGAATTATCTAGCTATAAAGGAAAAAAAGCCTATAATATAAAGTGGACTATTTCCTGTAATAGCAACTTTTTCTAGATTTTCCTTTGACAAAGTTTTCTGAATGAAGGTATTGCAACAGAGAAAGTGTTAGTGCAGTTCCCAGCCAGTATAACATATCCTTTCTTATGGAGATGAAAAATAAGTGACATGTCATAAAAATATCATCAGTGGTGACCAAAGCACTCTTTCATAAGTGCTATCTGATATTGTCCTTATAGCAGTGGCTGTTTTCTGCTTCCCCTCACCAGCATTTTGGCATTTTTTGCCTTTGATAAAAAATTTACAAGACCTTATTCATTAAGATGTTAATTCATGATTACTCCACTGACAGGAGAGAGGAGCTTCGCTCTTGTCAGTGAGGCTTGTGTCTGTCCTCGGGACAGGTGAAGGGACTGAGGGGCCCTTCACTGAATCTCTGCTTGGGCAACAGGAGCTGGTCCTCCTCCAAGATATGATGCTACACCACTGTCACTGTAAGAGTGCTCTCTGAGATCACACCACATATAAGGACATTGTGTCACTCTTGGAACTTTTTTTCTACCCTGAATAGAGTAAAATGTAGAAAACTAAGCTGTCATCTCGTGGTGGCTGGGGAATTTCTAATTTCCTGAGACCTAAGCTCCAGTAAATGGACTTTTTCACCTGCTTTTGCCTGTTGTTACATGTTTTGCTCTTTGGAAGGTAATGTTCTCTACGAGCTCAACTTTAACTTGTGTATTTAACTTTTAAGAAAAACACCTTGATCTTCCTTCAGCCCACACTGATCTTAGTTAACGTTGGGTAGTTTAAATCATGAAAACCTTTCTCATGGGAGGCCGTGCCCATGTAGCAGTAAAATTGGCTCGTCAAAATCATGTCATTTGTACGTGGCAGGTAAAAAACTCTTTGAAGTGGTAATGAAGTAAGTTCCTGCCACGACAGAAAGTTTTGATAAGATCACGTTCGTTGGGAGAGTACTTATCAGAAGAGCTGTAACTCATTTTGTGGAAACCAAGGTCCCAGTGGAAAGTGGTGAAATGGGAAGATCTAGCTGTTCACCCGCTCAAGAAAATGCATCCTCCTTCCTTTGCTCATTTCCTTTGAACAAGCAGGTGTGGATGCCGAGACCATCTCCCATCTACACACTGACTCTGTTTCCTGGTGGCTTCAGAGCAAAAACCACATGATAATGTTGTGTTTTTCAACTTAAGCACAGTAAAACCTTTCAGGTCTTTCAGGATTTTCTCCTCAGGGAAAAAACATGAACGTATGCCAGGTGAGCGGAGAGCTCTCGGTTGTCCCTCATGAGGCTGTGATAGCAATGGGATAGCAATACTCCTCCCATTCTCCACGCTGTGCTGAAAGCACCTGTGTTCCCAAATTCTTGTTCCTTTTTCTGTATCTCAGGGGCTTTTAATCTGAATTATCCTTTGTGCTTTCCCTGTGCTCAGTGGAAATATTTTGCATGGTAATTTTTTTAAAAATACGGGATAGGTGTCTATCTTACATCTCACCACAATTCAGCATTGAATATTACTTAATCTGACTTCTGTTTTTCAATTTAGAAAGCACTTCTGGCAGAGTCCTGAGAGCCATCAGACAGTTCAGAGACAGAGCAGCACCACAGCCCCCCAACCACTTCAACTCATGAAATCTCTTAGGTAGAGAAAACGATGAAAGAAACAACAGATGGTGGCTTTCCAGACAACTGAGCCATTTGTGAGAAAATCAGATTTTAAAGAGATTGAAGCAGTTGGAATGCTTTGGGACAACCAGGAACAAAGATGGGTAGTAGAATCATGGAATGGCTTGTGTTGGAAGGGACTTTAAAGATTATCTAGTTCCAATTCCCCCGCATGGGCAGGGATGCCACCCACTCGACCAGGTTGCTCATACACTTGTGCACAGTGTAGTATTAAAAACAGAAGGGAAGAGAATGAGTTTTAGATTCATGGATACTGATTCTGTTGGGTTTGAGGCTTGAAAAAAATCACTGTAGAGATGGTTAAATACCCACTTCAAAGAGATGGGACTAAATACCAGCACCTCTCTGGTATTTCCCAGTATATTATAGCCTGTAAAATCCTCATTTCCTTAACCATATATTGACTAGTGTGCTGCATACTTAGGTACAGGAAAGCTCCTTGTGATTTTTAAAACAAAATTAACATGAACATCAGGTACTCCTGAAAAGCTGGCAATACAGCCACAGATCTCAGAGGCTTCAAGAAAAGACCTGATGGTATGAGATTGTCTGAGAGCCCTAAAGGGAGAAATTGGATTCCCTGAACATGAACATACATCATCTAATGTCTTAGAGGGATGTGCTTTTAAGCAATTGGGCTTGAGCTGTGGCCTAAACCACCCGTGTCCATGGTGCCATGGCATGGACAGGAGAGCAGTGTTGTCCTTCCACATCTTTCCCTCCTCTTGCATCCATAACAGGTTGCTCACACCTCTTCACAAGGTCCACGTCCGTGATAGACTGCAGCTTCCTGGGGGAAGCAGTGGGGGAAGCAGTGGCAGCTGTTTTTCTCCTCAGGTTTCCATGAAATGAGCGTTGGCAGCCACTTTTCACATCTATCTGGTGGCATACAGAGAGTCTTGTTTCTGGGGGAATTACTTCCCAGGTTGAGCCTGAAGAGGTGGATGAAGCTGTGGTGGGATTGTGGGGCAGCATCAGTCACATTCCCATGCAGGAGGAGCTGGAGGGCACTGTCTCATCTGCTGAACAGGGAGCTTGTCCCTCCAGCAGCCCCAGTGGGAGTGAATGGCTTTGTGTCCTTCACCTCTGTATTTAATCATAACAGAAGTCGTGTGGTGGGGGCAGAGCTCGCAAATCTTGACATGCATTTTGCTCCCACTTCGTGGGGTTGTAACACAGTGCCAGCTGTTAACAACCTCCTGCTTGGGTAAATTATACCAGACACTGCTTTGCAAAGGTTGCTGCAATGACTTTTAGACAGGAATTTATCCAGGAGCCATGACACAGAGCGTAAGTAATTGCAATCATATGATATCTCTGTCATTGATGGTTTCTGCAAATTTTTAGTAACTGCTATAACACCATGAAGATTTGGAAAGAAATATAGTATTTTTCTGCTTTCTTAAAAATAGGAGTTGATGCTGAAATAGGGAATAGTCCCTGAAGTCCTGCTGGGTATTCATGTAAATCTATGTAGTATGAAATACAGTCTTTCTTATCTGATACCATCTAAACTAATGTTGCAGCCATGGAGCTACTATCAATTTTTTCTGTGTCTGACATAAATTTTTGGATATCCGTATAATAATCTACCATGTAAATCGTTCACTGGGTTCATGAGAGAAGCAAGACTGACTTTGGACATGAGCGTGTCTTGTGCTATTGGTGTATGACTCTTTATTATCAAAAGACTCAGATTTTAACAGAATGAAGATTCCATACTCTTATAAGTTTCCTTTCTCCATATTTGAGAGTTAGGAATGTACGGGCAAAGCAAAGAGTAATTAATTTACCTTCTTGTTGTGGGTCTGGCTTTCCAAGTCAATTATACTCATGATATTGCTTCTGTTAACATCTGCATTTAAATGAGTCACAGAACAGTAATGCTGTCAGCCAATAACACACCTTTTCCTCTTGCAGGGAAAGTACGTCTGCTGTGTGGCAGCAAAAGGAGGTCACTGAAAAAAAAAATTAATAAAAATGCTGAGGCAGGAATGAAAGCAGCATCACTTAACCTAAAATAACTGAATACTGCTAAACTAGATCTGAGTCAGACCAGTCCTTCTCATCCCAGAAGAACCCAGTAGACTGAATGCTGTGTCTGGCCAGTGGGTTTTTTATCAATTTAGCCTTTATAGGTGAATTTATTTTTAAGGGCAGGTTAGCAGATGAACTGACTCCCACATAACAGAGTGTAGCTCTTGTGAAAACTGTCAGGAAAAATGAGTAATAAATACATGTTAATTTTTTTTTTTCCACAGGCATCAGGGTTATGTTTATACCTACAGAGTGTCCCAGACAGAAACTGGATCCTGGAGTGCTGAGGTGTGTACTCCTCCTTTCTCTTCTGAAAATTTCTACATCTTGTCTCATATTCTTATAGATTTAATGAAATATATTCAAATTATTCATGTTTCTACATAGTCTGATTTTCATTGATGGTAATCGATCTTGAGTGTGCCCATCAGTAAGATGTCTTGGTGCCACTTCTGACAGTCTAGAATTCATAAATTAATTCCCTGTTTCACTTCAGCTGTTGCATAATGCAATAGTGCATTATTTTCCATCATTTTAAATGGCAAAAATATTTTGTTTTTATAACTTGACAAGCACAATCTGTTCCCTTCTATCCGTGTACCACTAATGTGGGAATATTTAAAGAAATTATTTTCAATCTGCATTGTTTTAAAGTTAATTTTGCTCCAGATCAATTCATCATAAGAGAAAAATATATACAGGGTAACCAAAACTTGGTACAAAATATGTTTTCACCCATCTGACAGGAAAACAGTAATTCTAGTATAGAAAAACAGTACTTGCAATACAGACAACTATTTGGGTTGATGGGATCAGGATGTTAACCTATATTTATTTTATGAATTTTTTGTTCTTTGGATGTACTCTGTGTATTAATTCATAATTACTTTCTGTTTGTATGTTAACGAACACTTATTACAAATATTATAGAATATCTAGACAAGGATAATTCTTTGGCCCTTATTATAATAGAATTGGTAGCAGTGTTCTGAAAGACAAAACTGTTTCTCAGGGTTACTCAAAAGCAGATTAGGGAGTGGAAGTGATTGACATTACTGTGGAGTAAACAATTCACCCTTGGGCCCAGGACTCTGTGCATCCTCTGCAGGAAAAGGTGCTGGCTACAAATCCATGATACCAACCCTCCCCTTAAGCAAACAGAAACCTTTAAGTAAATGTTGCCAAGACCACGCTGGCCTCAGCTGTTAGAAACGGCAGCACAGATCCAACTTTTCCCCATGGAATGTGCCTCCAAGGCCAACAGAGGCTCCAGATGCAGCTGATCCTTTCCTGTCTCTGCTTCCTTCCCTGCAGCTGTTTAGTCTCTGAGCAAGCTCAGGTCACGCCCATCTTTCAAGGACGAGGCAGGGAAATTAAAGCAGTGCTGGTGAAATCCCAGGCAGTGTGAAGACTCCAGCTGGTGCCAGAGAGGTTGGATTTAGCTCACAGCTGCTGGGTGAGAGCACTGTCCCTCCAGTGTGACTATGCTGGCAGGGCCTATGCTTGTCCTGCTTTGACTGTGGTGAGGTGTTATTGCAAGAATGCCCTGAAGGATTTAGCACAAATGCTGGATTTTTGATTAAAAGCACACGTGGTTTTGTTTCGTAGTGTTTGAAAAGTTGCTAATTTAGAAAGTAGAAAAACTCCCACTCTTAATAAATAGGTAACATTTAGTTGTTGTCTTTGTACAAGACGTAGGCAGGAATACTCAACACATAAGCCAGCACTGAATGCTCACAGAAGAGTTTGCAAAGAGGCTGTGTCCTTGCTGAAATTTATTGGTGTAAGGACTCCCCAGTAAGCCCTGGTAGCTCTCTAGGTTGTCTTACTGGTGTTTGCAGGCTGGAACTATCTTACTGATACATGCCCGGAAGTTATTGGTAAGGAGGTTAAGTCACTGGCTGTAGTAAGTCAGGGTCAGAAAGAGTGAAAGATCACTTGTGAGCTTGCCTAAGAAGCATGGGGTGGCAGGTTTGTCTTGTAGTGGTTCAGAAATTGTCCCTCTCCCAGCTTTACATCACTGTGCTGCTGGAGGTCGCTCGGTGCAGGGGGTCTGTGGTGCCCTGGGGAAGGGGGAGAGCAGTGCAGCTCCTTGACTCATTTTACGTTGGCACGTCAGGGGGTCTACATCCATGGCTGGCTACTTCCCTGTGGGCTGTGTGCATTTCTGAGGACAAGGCCCCTGTGCCAGCACCCCGAGCCCAGCACAGGCACTGGGCACCCAGCACCCCTCTCACCTCTCACCCTTTGACTTTGCAGACAGCGCCTGGGGTCCAGCGGAGGCTCTTTCGGAAAGTGCACAACCTCATCTCGGCCTTCCAGAAACCCAACCAAGGCATTGTAACACCCCTGCAGCACCCAGTCATCAACCACATGAAAGCCAAATATTCCCCAGGTACTGGTGGGGTGGAGGGAACCCCGTCTGCAGCTAAACAGAGCCCTCCATGGTGGCAGAGATGGAGGTCTTAGACTTATTTGTACGTTGAACTAGATAACAGAGTGACGTTGCCAAAAATGTACCCTAACTTTGTTCCTGTGTGATTGAAATGCTGTCAGTCAGATGCTCTTTAGAGACAGGGCCTGTCAATGTAATGAGAAAATGGATTTTGACTGTCTTCCTGAGTGCTATAGCAGCGATGACTGCCTTCCCTCACCTGCACCCTCACTCTTGTAGGTATGAGCCTTCTGATCCATCCATTTTCTTGCAGTATTCATCCTTTCATATCTTTGTGATTATTTTTCTTAGGGAGGAATGAAGGCCATGACTTCCACCTGCAGCCATCATGAGGATGTTTCCCCAACTGTGACATAACCACATCTTCCAGTGTCTCCTCTAGTCCATGCTCTAAGACAGTGATTTATATGATAGTTAATACAACTCCATGAGTTTTCTTGTAACATTTACAGAAATGTGTATTTCATAGAATTTATAGTTCAAAATGTAGAAGTTTAAGTTTCAGAATACTTCGAATTTGGAGTGAGATTTTTTTTTTTTGTTTCTGTTTGTTTGTTTTCTAAGAGAGGACAAAAAAAGGAAGAACATAATATCTTTTCCCCCCTTTATAATGTCAAGTAAAAATACTTTTCCCTTCAAGACTAGTTCTTAATTAATTATTTGTTACTAATTTTACATTGCTGAACTTTGGAGTCTTCTTTGCTTTGTTCTGATTGGCATTTATGCAGAACTGGGCAAGTCCCCTTTTATAACCTTAGGAGAATTGTTTACATTAAAGTGTCCTTGCCTTGGGTGGGCTGTGTGTCTGTCATTCATACAGTTCCTAAAGATATTCCAGAAGTGACACTGTGAGGATCCTCACTAACTGCTTTCCCATCACACCAGGCGTTCTGCCCTGTAACAAAATCTTTAGCTTGCACAAATGATCAAAAGCATAAGCAATGCACAGAGTAACTGAGAACACCCAGTGAAGTGGAAAGCCTGGTTCTTTGCTTTTAGGTATTCTCTGAACTTGAAACAAGCCACCTTTGCATACAATTTAAATGGATAAATTATTTTTCGTGACAGTTTCTCTGCTTTCTTTTTCCTACCCATGTATTTCCATGCTGCTGCTGGGCTCCTGGAGGGGAGGTTGAATCTACAAGACTTGTCAGCTGTGCAGGGTTAGTGGGCAACACTGTTGCTAAGTTGTGACAATTTCAGTTCATGGCTCAGTTTCTGTCTCGCTGAAGGCCAAATTTCATTTGCAGTGAAATGTCCTGTCATATTTTACTTTGTATGTGTACGTGTTGCTCTGTGCCCTCTTGGTATGTGTGCTTGTTGGTTGAAACAGGTCTTACCTTAACATAGTGCCATACAGTGGCAGATCCAGCATGATTTCCTCTTTAATAAAATATTTAAAGGCTGTTTTTTTAATTGTTACATAACTCAGCAAACGCACTGGCTGCTTTGCTGTCACTTGTGCCCATTGATTTTTTCCCTTCTCCTCTCTGCCTTAAGGGTTTCCCAGCCTGTTGTGAGCCTGTGGCAGCTGGTCCCTGGCTGTTCCTCTCCAGCTCTATGGCTCCTGCAAACCACCCTTCCTCAAAGCCAACCGAGCTGCTGGGCGCTCTCAGTATGTGTGGGAAGCCCTTTTCCTTCCTGAGTGCTGGGTCTAAAGCCCAGCCTCTCCTGGGAGCAGGAACAAGTGTGCTTGGAAACAATCCCTGGCAGATGATTGCAGGGATCAATGTAGTGGGAAGAACTTTGCCCGAGGGCTGTTTCCTATAGAAGTGTCCCGTTGGCTTCAATCAGAGGCTGAGGCTGCATGTGCAAAACCTGAGGCACAGGAGCAGCAGCCACTCACCCGCTCTGCGGTGCAGTGAGCTGAGGATAACTTGTTTGACTAAGGCTGGCTCCAAAAGTGCATTGTTCTTCTGAAAAATACATAAAATAGGCCAGAAGATGCCATTTCTGTTTAAAGCTGAGAGTGTTGTTTCAGTTTCTGATGTAAATTATTAAGACAGAGGCTTGTGTTGTTTCTTTTGGATACCCAAGGGTCTGGAATTGCTGTAGGCTTAACCAAGGTGGAAACAGAGAGAAGCTGATGGTGCCTGTGAGGTAAGGAGTCGATGTTTGGTTATAGAAACAGTAAAATGGAAATTATATAGATTGACTTAGGTGTGAAGAGCTACAGATCCTTTTAGAGAGCAGCAGCTGCATTTTGTGGGCATAACTGCCCAGATGATCTCTGTATCATCTGCTTCTTCCATCCCACTGTCTCTTCTGGGCTGCAGCCCCTTGCAGCTGCAGCTGCTCTGCCCTGTCCCCCTGGCAGCCCTGCCACCCCTGTCCCCTCGCTGCCACAGCCCTGGTTCTGGCAGGTGGTTTTGTAGCTCACTGCATTACCTTGTGTCCCCTGACCCTGCATTCTCTGCTCTGCCCTCTCCCCAGCAAAGGCAATGCTGCTCCTCTGCAGCAACTATCCCTCCCTCAGCTCCATTTTTGCCTCCCCAAAGCCACCCCCTACTCCCCATCTATGGCTGTGACAGACCTGCAGCACTAAATCAGTTCCATCTCCCAGGCTGCTTTTCATCCCTTTTCTACTAGAGCACCTCTTTGGACTCACTTCCTTCTCATCCATCCAACACAGCTCTACCAGCCTCAGCCCTCCTGCTTGGTAATTACCCAGCCCAGCTGCTCCAATGTTTTTCATCGTGCAACCTTTCCTTTAGCCTTAAACATTCTCTTGTGCCCCTCCTTTCACGTGCTCCTCCTCTCTGCTGCATGTGCTGGGCTTTTTATTTTTTATTTTCCTGGGTACATATTTTTCACACCACAGTCATTCATCATCATCTATTTGAGGCAGCTCTAAAGAACGTGCAGATACTTAAACTTTGCTCCTCATCTTACTATCACGGTTGACTTCACCCACTCTGGTATTAGGAATGCAAATGCATTTAGCAGAATTATTTTTTTCGCTCTCACATTTGCTTTGATGAAATGTAATAACCTGTGCACAGAAACTGGCTGGGATTTCACCTGTAGTGAAACCTGCAGAGTTATAGGCATGAACTTGGGTGAATCAGAAGTAAAATTAAATCTTGCTAAGCAGCTCCCTGCCCCCCCAACTTCTGAATCAACCAATATTGGCTAAAGTCCTTATTTAGCTCTATGGAAGCAGCTTTTACTGATATGACCAGAATATCCCAAATACTTGTGTAAACAAAAACAACATCACATGCCATCAGTTTGCACCTTTATTTTTTAAAAATGAAATAGTCAAAGTACTTTCTTTTTCAAATATCGACACATAATATATTAACTTTCAATATTTACAGCGTGTTGCTGGGATGTTCTTGTAGAAAATGCATGCTTCTGGTCTGAAACCCAGAGCAAAATCCATCAGACCATTTAACTGCAGCCATATAACATAAACCTGTACAGTATCCAGTCACTATTCAGCACAGGAGTTAGAGCAGGAATAAAAAAATTGGGATCTATTGTTTCCTAGCAACGAGGCTGAGGCCATTATAACACAATTTCTGTAAGATCAGAACCTCTAACTGGTGTTAGACAGAAAGTGAAGATCTTGGCATACATTGTAAACATTTTTTACTGTTGATGAGAAAGCTAAAAAGGAACATTACTTTGACATATATCGTATGCTATGCTTCTCGTTCTCGTTTATTGACACTTCTGCCAGAAGAGTATGAAGATTGTAATGTTTTATCATGGTTCATACAAGTAAAATACTGTCAAGGACACGATCTGATATACTAACATTTATTAAAAGGCTAAAGTCCACCACGAGATCTAAGGAAAAACTGGAAATTGTCAAACACGTTTCCTTAGACAAATAATGGCAGGTGACAAATGCCCAGACAAATCGACAGCGAGTCCGACTCCACCATTCCCAGTTTCTGCCTGGAAGCGATTCCTCTGGCAGCCAGGGTGCTTTCGACCCGGTAATGTTTTGTATCAAGGAGAGGTTTAAATAACAGTCAGCATTTGACAGGAAAACCCTCAGGGCTGTTGGCGCAGCCTGAGCTGGGTGTCACCGCGCCAGATCAGCCGCACTACGGCGAGCGCCCCGAGCACACGAACACCCTGCTGGGGATCTGCCCATCTCCTTTGGCTCAGCTAAACCAGAGGAGCTCCTCTGCCTAAACCACCTACCTCTTTGGAGCAGCACCTTGGCTTCCAACAGCACCCACTGCCATTGCTCACCCTGGAGAAGCTGCTGCCCTATGAGCCCAGATCATGGTCAGAGTGCGAGGCCACCCCTGGCCAGCCAGTGCACAGCTGAGGAATGCAAAAGAGCTCAAACCAAAGAGCTAAGGTGTGTACACCCAGTTGCAAACTGACCAGTTCATATATATTTATTTGGCTATGTTCTACATAGATATCTATATATATATATTTATAACTTTGAAATGTTCTAGATTTGCTAAATAAATATGAAAGCAAAGGAAATGTTATTGTACACACTATTCATTTGGTTGTCATAAAAAATATAGCACGAATTTCTCATGGTAAGTACTTTGCTACAGAATAGTGTGCAATAGTGGTTTTTATTTTATTTTAATTATTTTCTTTTTTCCACTTTCAGAACCTTGTTTGCAGTGCAGAACGCTAGCATCAAATTATCATCTGATCTAAATAACAGTAAAAATTTCCATGCTATTATTTTTCTTTTTTTCCTAAATTGGGTCTCTAGGCTATAGTGCAAAATCAAAAAAAAGAAAAAAGAAAAAAAGAAAATGAGATATATTAAAAAAAAAAAAACCAACCAAACAACCAACCACTGAGAAATTGGTCTAACTACTAGGAAAAAAAAAATGGAGACTGAAATATTCCCTGCCTCCATCTGAGGTTGTTCATGAACAAGATGGTCCAAAGCTATTTGTTCATGTAGTTCTCACGAATCACTGCTGGCTGGCCCATGTATATCTACGACTTCAGTCTCCCATGTGCTTGCAGTAATAACACATTTCTTTAGCGCTGTAATCTCAACACAACATTTATATTCAGTTTCCTAAATTTACGAAACTGTTACGATGAAGGCATTTTTTTTGCTCTTGTAACTGGGCCATGTAATATCATGTGAGTCTTTATGGATCCATATTCTCATAAGAGATATTGTTCAAAATGTACCTTAGACTGCACCCAGGAAATGGGAAAATGCCAAATCTACTTCCAAAGACAAACTCGTAAGACATTTCACTCTTAGACCTTTTGGCATAACATGAGAACAACAGTAATCAAGGCAGTATTAAAAACCACAGCTGTAGGTAATACAAAGTGCATTTCCTGCATATAATACAAATATAACTTTAAGAAACTAAAGGCACAAGCTAACTAAATAAGTATTACATACTAGAAATGCACAGTTCAAGGTAACTCTAATAGCTTCAAATATTTGTTTATAATGGATATTTAAAGCAGTTTGAAAATGATCCTCATTAGTGAATTGCAAAAAAGTATAATTGCTTAAAATATAAGTAAAATAGACTCTAATATTGACATCTTGGATCAGTGATAAAATACATCATCACATTTATGAATGCACTCTCTATATACAATTAATAAATTATTCTTCCATTGATTAAAAGCATATTAGAGGCTCAAGGATTTGAAGGTCCATTTTTAGGCTGGTGTGGAGGTATTCAAATTCTCCGTGATTGTATGGAAAATTACAGAAATCTGAGCTGTGAAACCTGGATGTTGTCAGCTCCCTGTCCTGTACGTTAGTTAATGATGAGCCTGATCACAATGTGTACGTGCAGATTTTGGTCCACAGTTCCCCCTGGCTGGGGATAAAGGAGGGTTTCAGGGGCCAGGCTCCCACTCAGCCTGATCCCGCACCCCTAAAGCTGTAATGGCTCCCAGGGGAGCAGAGGGAGTCTGGGAAGAGAAGACAATGGGATGAGGCTGAGAGCTGAGCTCAAACTCCAGTGAGGGGCTCAGGTCTCAGATGCCAGTTCAGGCTCATCTCTAACTTGGGTACAGTCTGCTCCACTTGCCCAAAAACAAGGGAAAAGAGAAAACTGGAAAAAAGGAAGAAAGACAAAGAATGCACTTTGTTGGCTTCAGTAAATATGAACAGAAATTGTTTCAATATATTACTATGTCCGTTTTGAAAGAAATGTGCAATAACATCACTGTTACGGATACACAGGCTCTATAACAAGACTTCTAGCTCCCTCTGAAAGTCAGTAAAGGAAAACTGCTTGCCCATCCCCCCCTCCCCATGTGCCCGCCTCACCTCCTGATAATCAGGTTTTGTAACAATGACAAGCTGGAGGAAGGATCACCTACTCTGCTATGAAGTAACTGTGCCAGCAGCGCATGATACCTTGGGAAATAAAAATTTCTGTCCATGCAATATAATACTTTTCTATGTGCTCTAGATATTGAGCTGAAAAGTGAAGAGTCATCTCCAACATATCAACACATTTACTATCCACACTTAGGTTCATCAACTCCCAACCCACCAATCTTCTTCAGACTTGGAAAAATGAGTACTACAACAGGATTATTAATTTGAGATGAAAAGAACACGATGCCTTAACCCAACAACACTGCAACTTCCAAATCATCTGTGTAAAGACGAGTCCTGGCCCAGTGACTACAGGCAGGACTGATCCTGCACGGCTTGTTACTGCTCCCTGTGGTCTCCCAGCTGGGTTGTCCCCAAAGCATGGGGTTAAAGCCCAGCCTGGAGCACACTGATACCAGCAGAGAGCCTCCTAAAGATTACAGCTTGGCTGAAGCCCGGTAATGCTGTGCCACCCAGATCCCTCCACCAGGCAGACTGGCAGCTCTACGTGTGCTCCCAGACTGCAATATATTCCAGTGCCAAGGGAAACCCTGGGAGAGAGACCCCACACGCACGAGTAGACATAATGTGGTGTTCAACATGGGGTGACTGAGGGGCGGCTACAACAGAGCAAAGGCCACAGGGGACAGCCTTGTATGTACTGAATCCAACACAAGTCAGATTTCCCAGGTTAGAAAATCCCTTAGCTCCTAGCTGTGAGGAATGACATGTGCGGGGTTGGTGAGCAACTACGAAGTTTCCATACACAGTCTGGTTTCTGTGTGCAATCCCTGGAACTTACGGGAGATCTCACTGGGATAAAAACCACCCAGTAAATACGGGTTGCAGAATCAGGCTCTGTAACCTTTTAAATAACTGGTGAATTATTAAACCAACAACAAAAAAGTTGTGTTTCTTTAGAAGAAGGCAGAGCATGTGGCGCTCGCCCCTACCCCGCAGGGCTGTGCGGTGTCACCCCGGGCACCTCGCGCGCAGGTCGCGGCGCTCGGCTCGCAGGACTCTGCTTCTGAAATTTTTGAATACTGCCACACAAGAACTAAAAATTGTCACTGTCATCTCTCAAAGAGTTAAACAAACAATATTAAAATACCATCTTCTGTCACATTTAAAGGCAGTTGGATATGTTTTTTTCCTCTATATTTATATATACAGAGTTCTGATCTAGAAAAACCAATACAATAAACCATTTTACGTTTAAAAACAGGCAGTCTTTGGTGACGCAAAGGCAGAGATTTTCTTTGTTACCTTCTGCCTATTTCACTCTGTCTCATGAAGTGAATATTATTGGCACTGTCAGAAAGTTCGAGATACTGCTCCACAGATAAAACAAAATATCCATCGTAGCCTTGTACCCTCCCAGTGCTTAAAAGCTGCTGTTTCTCTCCGTCTGTCCATGCTCGAATTCCTTCTTCCCCCTCCTGTAGCCGCCTCTGCTCCTTAGTCCAGGCCTGAGCCACGGCTCGCTGCCTGGCTATCTCCAGGACGTGGTTTTTTTCCTCTTCCACTGTTGTTCCATACCGCACGTTAAAGCAGAGTGCGCCGTGCTGGAGCTGGATGTCAGCAAAGCGTCTAGTCCTGCCGTTGATCACAGAAGTCATCTGCGACACCGTCACGTTGACGCCATTCTCCAAGATGCGGCGCCCTCCGGTGCTGCCGATGAGGGCCAAATCTTCTTCCAAAGAGCCCAGCTTGATGAAGTAATGGGTGTCTCGGCCCTCAATGGTGAAATGCAGGTTCTCCAGATAATGAGCGTTGTTGAGGATGGCAGCAATGCGCCGGCTGTCCTCGTTAGCCACACCGATAATGTCAGCTGTCACTATCCCGTCCTTTATCGCAAATTTGATGCCTTTCCCGAATACTGAAGGAACAGCTGCAAATCTCAGTTGCTTCACTCCCTCAGAACACTTGCCATCACTATACCTGGGTGTCATAGGAAGTTGGTCCAAGGATATAAAGTTTCGGAGTTGCTTTTGTAGCTCACACTGAATGCCAAGGATAGTCTGGAAAAGAAAACACAAGTTTGCAGGTGAGGCACCTTGCAGTTCATTACAGTATCTCACAGACCTTACTCATCTCTTAATTGCTTAGAATGGATCTCCAATTTTTTTGGAAAATATTGTACACACCTACAGAACCTGGACATATGCACAGGCTTTCTAATTGCCTGTGGTAGTGCTTTCTGTCTCTTGGACTCCTTCATTTCTAGAAAGCAAATGGAAAGATGTTTATCACAAATGCTATTTTTGTATTTGTTCTTCCTTTAAATTCTTCCTCCCCCTTGAACTCTAATGGCTGCTCTTTCAGCCCTTAGGCAGTTCAGGAAAAGCTGAACTCAAAGCTGTGCTCATCTTCTGTAAAATCACAGTAACAGATTTTATAGCCCATTCTTTAAGGAAAGCAGGTTGTGAAGGTCTTGAGGCACTAGAACAACAGGAACCAAGCAAGTACATCACATTTGCAGATCTTACTCCCCATAGAGGCTAAAAGAAGCTTCATTCCAACCATCTCTTTGTTGTTTAACACTATACCCATCACTACATCTTTTCTGTGCCTTGTAAAAGCTTCTTTAATATCTCAGTGACAATTTTCCATGGACATGCTCTTACATCTGGTGTGACCCCCAGCCTTCTGCACTTGGTGCGGTTGTTTGTGCATGGGAAGTGTGTTAAATGTTGTGAACTTTAACGTGAACTCTCAATGCTTTATAATTCCCTTCCCTGACTAAGAGGAAAGGCCTCTTTACAAAATCATAGTTCTTTGTTAACAGATGCTCATATGATCAAATGCAAAACATGAATGCTCGCTCAGAGGTAGTTGGTCCTATTGCAGTCACATTGATTGCTGGACTCTGATAGCTGTTGCCTGGCTCTTCTTCATGGAAAATAAGCCCTGGAGCAAGGCTGAGATTTACAGACCCCCTACAAATCCGTAGCAACATTCCTGTTTCCTGCAATAATTATGCAGAGGTACTGACTTGTAAAGCTGTTTATAACCTCAGTGATTTTGCAGCTCCTGTGGCATCTTTGCTAACACAGATGAAAATCTACAGTTTTAATTTTTCAATTGCACAAGATTTTCTGTGGCTTTTTCAATTTTCACATAAACACTTTCACTCTTTTACCTATCCTGCTCCTCAAATTTGGATATTTTCTCTATGAACAGCTGCAAATTTCCCTCACTGTGTTGCTGTCTCCTTAAAGCTCTCCTCCACTCTGATGCCAGAACATAATTGACAACATTAAAGATTCTATAATTGTTAAACTATTTGTCTTTCCCGTTATGTCAAAAGATACAGTCACATTGTTTCCTTGGTCTCCAATATTTTCTAATAAAACTCCTTAGTTTAGTATTGGAAGCAGCTAAACTGAGTTTTTGCTAACCTTTCCAGGATCCCACTCTTGGGTTTTTGTCTGAAGCTGTAGAAGTTCGTATGTTGTCTCCAAAGCTTCTATCTCTGGTTTTGGGAATCCAGGCAGCACGTTGTGCAACTGGAAACCAAACAGCTCTAGCCAACTTCCAATGTCTATAAAACAAGAAAAGGATGTTAGCAAAAAGGCACATAAATCCTAGAAAAAGGGCAGTCTGCAGAAATTCCAGCTAGGCAGAAATAATGATTTCACATCAATTTATGTTTCCCTACTAGTTACAGCATTTATTGTAGCAAACAAATTATTTGGTTACAAAGCATAGCTATACTCAAATCAATAGTGTTCCTTCTATCTATTTATAATGGAAAAAATTAAAATTAAGCTGCCTCCATTCTTCCCTTAATTTTAGCACTGAGAAAATCAGCAGAAGCAACTATTAATTATTTTCTTGGTTACCATAAAGGCTCTAGAAAACAGATCAAGCGCAATCTATTAAAGAAATGACTTCAATACATTTAAAATTAGAGACAAAAAGTAACTTTGGATGTATACAAAAGATTTCTGGAATGTTGAATCCATCCAGAATTTGATAAAGAGTTTTTATGAGAAAGGTTTTACTTTTACCTGTTGTATACTTAGCAACATCTTGGATTCTGCCAACTGGATAATTATTTTCAAATGAATAGAGATTAAATGGTTGTGGGACAGCATTCAGCCGCTTCCATATATGATGATTTGGTGTCGTCCACCGACCAGCAATGACATCATAGTCCCGCTGACCGAGATGAACTAATTTAGTAAGAGAATCATAAAGTCCTCCATGAAAACCAATGATAACCTCGAAATCTGGATTAGTGTCTTGGTAGATCTCTCCATATGGGGTGTACAAAATTTCTTTTATGACTTGGCCTCGACTGCTAAACACAGCTAGAGGTGTTCCAGTGTTATCACAAGCAACATAATATTCTTCTCCACTGCTTAATTCCATTGCAATGAGATGACCTTGAAGATCATAATAGAGGGATGTTATTTCTGAGCTAGAATGATTGTACAAGTGAGTAACTCTTATTGGGTTGGAGAGATCAGCATAAAAGAACTGTAAGTGTTGTCCTAGGCTTGATTTGCTTGCAACTCGTCTTCCAAGACCATCATAACAGTATTGCACAGTCCAGCCAGACACTTTGTTGTACGCTTTGTTCAGCAAACCATTAGAGTTGTACTCAAAGATCTCATTGCCTCTTTGCCTGAGAAAGCCATCTTCATCCATTTTGTATTGAATTTCTCCAAGTCTGGTAATGCGATCTCTCAGATCGTATCTCAGAGGAGTGAGGCGGGCGCTGTTTCCATGGCTCAGCAAGTTGATGTTGCCATTAAGGTCATAGCTGTAGCGCCACTGGGTTTTGTCATTCACAGACACGGTCTGGAGTTGACCATCAGCATCGTATTCATAAAAATATCTTGTTATATTGGCATCTACACCGACACGTATATCACAGATCACCATGCGCCCCATATTGTCATACTGGATGGTCATCCAGTAAGCGATGGACTTGAGAATTTCATATTGCACTTCAATCACCTGACCATTGGCACTGAAGATTTTGGTATGCTTCATCACAGTGGTGGTGATAACTTGGTTTAAATCATAATTAATTACACTGAATTTTCCAAATTGTTCAGTCCTGCCAGAAACATCGACGTAACGGTACAGGTCAATGGGAAGAGGCGTCTCGTTGATCATGGCCTGCATGCTCGTGACACGGAAGTTGTTATAGCTGTAGTCAAATCTGGCATTAACAAGCCCTTCTTCACTAAACCTGAAGATTTGGCGACTAATAAGCGGACCTGTCCAAAACAAATAGGGGAAAGAGGAATAATGAAAATAATGAAAATAAAGTAAACGCCCACAGTTTACTTACCCTACAGATCTAACACAGACAGATCATGAACTCAAACATACCCTTAAGCCTTAATTGCTGCCTGTCTCAGAAAATACCATTAACTAAGAATATGTTAGATTATTCTCTCACAAACCTTTATTAATGCTTTCTCTACAAATTATTTATATTTTATTAGCATTCATTTAAATGAATGCTGGTTTATTCATAATTATTATTTCTATTTACTTACAAGATAATTCTTAACTAAATTTATTTTACATGGATTTCTTTCCTTATATAAACAGTCCTTTTGAATTTATGTTAGATTATGGTGTAAACAGGGAAACTTGAAAACACAAACAATAAACCAACTTGATTTAGTATTTAGCAAATATCCACACAGTGGAATAAAAACAACCAAACATTCTAAGAGCTATTCCATACCAAGCAATAAAAAGAAGACTGTATTTCAAATGGGACAGCTATATTCACCTATGGACACAGACACAGAGATATACACACATATTTTTCTATTGAAACATAAAATATAAGAACTTGTAGACATAAAAGTAATGGAATTTCATGCCAGGTAAGTGCAGGATCAAATCCAAAAACTTTAGCAAAGTAGCCACAGTTGCACAAACCTGTTTGCCTGTATCTGATGGTGCAGATGAACCCATCATGCATTAAATGTATTGTTTTAATAACCCCAGAAGATTCCTCGTAGGTGAACGTGACTTGAGTAGTATCATAAAGAATCTCAGAGAGTCGGGACTGCTTGGTGTACTTGTAGAGGACTCTGCGGCCTGTCCCGGGGTACAGGGTCTGGAGCAGCCGCCCGTCCCTGGTGAGGTCCTGTACGAAGGCGGCGCCGCTGTCGGGAGGGGTGTAGATGTTGCGGTAGTAGCCGACGGAGAGCATGGTCTGCAGGGCGTGGCGCACCATGCTGGGCATGGTGACCGACAGCAGGTAATCCGACTGGTCGTACTCGAAGATGTAGCGACGCTGGCTGTGCAACAGGAGCATCACGGACTGCAACCAAACAGCAAGGGCAGGGTAAGGGGCTGATCAAGCACGTGGTTATTCATCTAGTGAGTGCCTGAAGGTTATGGGAATGCTGAAACAACCGCTCGCTCTTGTAGTTTGCTTTTGCGGTCTGTACAATTCCAAGTGGAGCTTTCAGCTCCAGGAGACCTGGCCAGCAAGGTGGTACAAAACAGGAGGAGAATAATAATAAGTCTAGAGGTAAGGATCTCCAAACTGGAAGGCAGATGTGGCTCTCAGTAGCATTTCAGCCTCATGTTGGCTTGCTATGTTGCTTTGAAATATTTAGGTCAATCTCTCAGGAAGCCAATACAGAGAAAACCTCTTCCTCACACACAGGCAGAGCATCTGCACCAGCAGACGTGCCTAAGGGAGTTGGAAAGGGGCAACTTTGTGTATATACAAGATGTTTAGCTTTTATTGGCACTCTGCATACCTCCAGCACAGACCTACCCCTTTTTTGCATGTCTTCTTTTAAGTGCATGTCACTCCAGAGCTCACAGTACCTCCATGCTTACAGATGGATGAAAATAGTCTGCAGGTTCTTTGGTGTAACTACTTCTATCACTGGTTTTTAACTTTGACAAAGAATATAATTTCTACACAGGTACTTGATACTTGCCCTGTGTTGGTTAATTGTGGCTGGTCACAGAGCACTGGGGAAAGAAATCAGAAAAACAGTATTTTTTCCTCTAAGCTCAAAAATCTTCTCCGAGAAGGAAGCACCACAAACTCAGCCCTGCAATATGTTAAGTAACATTGGCCCTGAGCCACTCTGCTCTGACAAATAAACCAAATGCTCATTCAAAGGGCCAGAGATAGGCTCAGCCTTGGCCATCCCCTCTGCACTCCCAGCCCCCTGCCTGTCCAAGATGTGTTTCTTCCTGCCCTTGGCGAACGACATCTGTCACCTGTACACCAGCCAGAGAGCACCAACATATGCCACTCCAGGTCACCCTGTGCCAACTGGTGACAACAGACCTTCACACCGAGCTAGTTCTGATCACTTTATTGCTGCTCGGCCAAGCATCTCCAACAGCACTGTGTTTATTTTGTTTCCACCTTCAGTCAAGAGTCTCCAGTCTGCAGTAAACCACTGGCTGAACTCTCTCCCAGCACTGCCGTGACGCCTCTCTCTATATACTGCTCCCACGCCTGTTTTTAAGCTGTCTGCCATTGACAGAGTATGAATAACAAGATCAGAAACATCCCCAATATAACTTTAGTGCCCCTGTGTGCCATTTTTACAGCACTTCGTGGCTTTTCCACTTTTGTTCAGGATAGTAAAAGGACAGACAGTACTAGGGCTGGAGACTTAGTATCCTTTCAAGCCTATTAGAGGATACCATAAAGAGAAAAAAAATTAATTCCCAATTCATCCTAATAATATTACAATAGATTTTTCAACTCTGCGTAAATTGGGTTCTAATTGTTTTAAAGGATTTCAGAGAGTAGCTCATAAAACATCCAAAAAGCTGTCATTTTATTAAGGCAGCCAGAGCCTGGTCAACCACAGGATGATTGATGCCGTATGGTGTATCAAGACACACAGCCAGTGGCAATTACTGGGAGCTCTGCTGGGAATAGACAAATGCTGAGCATCACCACTAGATGTCATTTCTCTCCAACATACACATGCAGCCAGTCATCTATTTTGTCTGCTGGATTTTGGAAGCGAGCTTGGAGTGTTCAGGAGATTTTATATCACTATTAATTAATTGAGGAAAGTGACCAAAACAAGAGGAGATGAATCTCACCAGTAAGAATTATTTCCAATGCAAAGGTCATAGCACTTTTTAAAACCTTAATTATTTGAGCTAATTTTGTAAGGGTAGAGATTTTTGAAGATGTACAATTAACTCATCAATTGCTAGAACTGAAGAATTAAATAACTATGAATTGGAAGCAAACTATATAATTGATTTTTTTTCATATAAAGAATTATTGAGTCTTACGTGGTTTCAGACAACCTTTAGCAATCATTACATAATTAACACAATGAGTTATTGACTTTAATGGAGCCACAAAGTGATATTTCAATGTCTGTTTTTGACAGTGAATTCATCTTTCTTTGGCACAAGGAACAACATCATGAAAGTACATTAAATAGCTGGGAGATTATGTGCATGGTGTGTATGATTTTCAGTAATTTTAATGACAAGTTACAGCATAACCCAAGCCTTCTGCTACATGAGCAAGTAATCTTTTGCCATTTCCTTCTCCAGGATCAGGATTTGGCGATTTGTGTAGAATTCCAGTTATATGACTTTATTTCTGAGCTCATCATAAACTAAAAACAGACAAAGTGGTTTGGAAAGATAAGAAGATAAGATCTTTCCAAAATTACGCTCCATTATGTCCAAAGGAAAAAAAAAAAAGATTCCTCCAAAAGACACATTGCCCAAATATTTGAAACCTGTATGAAATGCCTGTTTACTTGTAATTTGCAGAGGACCATACAGACAAAAGAAGCCCTGACAAATTTATCTGAAGCAAACTTCTGAAGCTCCTGGGGTTTGCCAATCTTGTTAACACACGCAAGAACCATACTGCATGGAGACAGGGAGGGAATCACATTTTTATGCATTCTCCAGTCTCAATCATTTTTTTTTTCCCACTGGGTTAGCTTTGAGTTTTTTGAGGATCAAGCTTAAACACAGTCAAAATAAGTACAGCACAGTTTATCTTAAAAGTACACATTTGGAACTCTTTAGTATATAAATAACTTCAAAGTCACTGGATTTTGTGTGTGTAATACCTCCTCTATCAGTGTTACCTCACCTGCCCCCCACCCCCTATAGCTTTTCCCTGCAGTTTACAGGTTCAGAGAAAATGTGCTGCAAACTCAGGGTGTATTGAGTAGTCTAAGACGTTGCTCTTTAAAAAAGTTCGAATACAATTTCACACAAAGTTCTGAAAGCTTTAAAAATACTTATTGGTTTTTTGGTTTTGAGAGACAAGACCAAATTAGATGTTTCTACAGATGAAGGAAATGTTCCTCCTTATTCTGTACAACACTCCACATTTTGTGACCATTACCTATAGATATAAATGAAAATTACAATACTCAGGGAATTTAGATGCAAAGTCACTATAAAAGCAGAACAATAACTCATTTCATATTAATGCTTTTCCCTAAATGGCCTTCATAAATATTGAAGTGAACTTTCTCCTCACAGGATCAATCCCTTGTTTACAATGCAGCACTGAATAGGTGCAAGTTTGTACTCAGGGGCTTATAATTTTGGCTTAAAAGAACTGTATTTGTGTGGGGGGAAAAAGTTCCCTTTCAGTGACTGTTATCTTTTTGACTATTATCCCAAGTAGCAACATACTTTTCAGCAGTGAGGGTGTCCTTTATCCACTTAAACTTGAACTGGGACCAAAAAGTCATTTTTACCTACCAATTAAGCAAACCTGAGGTGCTGATAACTTTCTTCAGAACTAAACTATGGCAGGTTTGAGCAGGTGACATCTAGGTGTAAGTGTGTCCACACACATTTTTATTTAGTTATGTAATTCTATGTATTTTCTGCTTAAAAAGTCTTAAATACTCTTGGAGGAGGTAGCTTTATAACAGAGTTCACAATATAATACCTATATAAAATGAAATATTTTTTGTCTTGGTACGACAATCCACTTTTTAAATGATTTACCTTTTCTAGATATGTGTAACTCCATATTTTACCATCTGCCCATGTTCTGGAAATGATGTTCCCACTTGGATCATACTCCATTTTCTCAGTCCAGGTTCCTCTCTGGATATAGGTGACTAATCCAGAATGTGAATATGTGATATTGACCTCATTGTACTTGCTGATGGGTGACCATAAGATGGGGCGTCCTGTCTGGTCATACATAATTCGCAGGGTGAATTTGCGATGATCATCATAAATCTTCCCTGTTCTGGTAACGTGATCGAAATCGATGGAGAGCAGGTTTCTGTTGTGGGTCTAAACACAAAGATACAGTAAGGTAAGAAAACAATGCATCCTAAGCACACCCAACAGACACGTGAGCAATGGTTTAACATTGTGAGTTGGGCCTTCCTGAAGACAAGAAAATAGAAAAAGATTCAGATGAGAAATAGAAGGACCAAAACATAAACTGCTGCTTGTGCTCGGTGTTATTATACTTGACATTATAGGACGCTTCCATGTGCTAAACCCTCACCTCTGCTCTCACCTTTTCTTAAATTTTTCTTCTTTCTTCTCAGCTGTGGATGAGCTCCTTGTCAAGCCCACAAATTAAGAAAGATCTACTATCTCACATCCTCTCTCGAGCTCTTTTAATGTTGACAGGTCAGGTGCTGCTCTGGCATAGCCCTCACCAGGCTGATGGTACAAAGGGCAGAGCTGTGCTTGCAGCTCCTGCAGACCCTGCTCACCAGTGTCCTCACATTCCTTCACAAAGCCACCCCACTCCCAGAGCTGATGAAAGCCAGCAGCAGTGGTGCCTGGTGCCAGCCAGAGTTCTTGTGGCAGCTCTCTCACCACATCGGGACCTGCAACTTTTGTTAAACTCGCTGTGTCTGACAGATGGACAGCAACCCAATGCTCAATTTGAAATCAAGTTCAAAGCTGAGCCAGACTCATGAAGACAAAATGTATTTACCCAGTGCTATCATCATCTGCCTCCTTACATCATTTAGCCACTGGACAATCACTGATAAACGCCATTTAAATCCGAGATATAATTTAGGGAACCATAAAACATTGTTCATTGACTTGTCTTTTTCAGATCAATGCTCAATACGCTAATTGTATTAATGTACCACATTTTATCTAATCACTCTATTCCAATTAATAAGTTCCTTACAGCAGACATGTTGCCAGTGCAGGTGTTAGCACAGTGCTTGCTCCTCACTGAGACCTGGAGGCACAGCCGCAGAGTAAATGGTTAATAAAACTTGTTTAATAATTCAAGCTGTGATTACAATGAACATTTTTTTTCTTTCCCCTTTCTGTTTTTAGATACAAAATAATTTGAGAATCTGGAAGAAGCAGGTGTTCTTTCTTCAACTACCATTTCTGGGGTTTTATATACACACATGTCTAACTTTAATAGTGTTCATTTACAATAGCTGTAAAATACCTATATACCCGTGTAGACTGTTGTAACTATTACAATTTATGCTCTAATGATAGTTAAGGAGTCCAAGTAAAATGTGATGCTCAGTTCAACTATATTTGCTTGTATACAATCTGATGGATTAAGTTTAATATATTTTTTAGCAAACTTCTTGAAATTTCTGAAAACAAATCCTCTTGGTGGCAAAAAAACTGAAAAGCAAGCAGGGGGCACACTCTATCTCATATTCATTTATGTTCTATGTACATGTTTAATGTTCTTATTGCTATTATTATTATTGTAGAATGCAGTTAGGAGAAAGGAAAGTCTCAAATACAAATTGCTTGCAATCTGAATTTCAGAGACTATACAACAAATAAGAACGAGAACCAAACAGAGACAGAATTAGCAGTGAAGTGGAAAGTGGCAGTAATTGAAAACTCACTGAGTTAAAATAAGGTTAAAATACTTCCCTTTTATTGCACATTTTATGTCTCATTTGTTTACTTTCTTATACTAAACTTAAATTTAATGCCCTTCTCAAGGTAAGAGAGGATGATACATGGATAGTATGACTCATCTCAATATTGTTATTGACAAGCTGATTTCAAATCCTGGTGGCTTCATAAAGATGACTCCTCCAACATACATACAACACAGCAAAGAGCTTCTGAGAGTGGCTCAAGCTCACGTATGCTGGTATGAGCTAGGGAAACTGGTTTCTGAAAGCAATGTCAGGTTGGAATATCAGCTAATGAAAACAGGGAGAAAATTCAGCTGACTTCAATAATGTTAGAAGTGCATAAAAAAGGTATTTATTATATATTTTTAAAACATTTGTTGACTCTACTTACACTAGTTTTATAGCTAGAAATTTTGCAGTGTAAATATCACACAATTGTGTACTTCTTTGGGCTCTCATTTCCAAACATACCCTGTCCACAATGTCTAAGTCAGATGAGAAGATTGCATTATTTCCTTGTCTGTGTTTGGATTTGAACCAAGGAAAACTCACAGACCCTGGTAGAGGTCTTGGTCCCATCTTTAGAATTTGCTGTAAGACTGTTAAATAAAGGGAGATCATTTGCTAAATGCAATAATGAACATGACTGTCAAAGCCTGTGTCTGCAGGACTTTTGAACTGAGGCCAATGAGTTACTTCCTTTTTTGTTATAAAAAAAAAAAAAGGCAAAAAATAAGCAAGACAGGCCAAGCATTCAATTTTCAATTTTGTAGATACTCAGTTATAAAACCTGGACTGCATCCAATGCCAAGTTCCTCAAATTATGCAAAAGTCAGGAGGGAATGGAGCTGCATTCTAATCAGTGTATTACTATGCATCATGCTCATCACTTTTAACAGCAGTCTTTGCTTCATTTTTAGAAGTCAATTAAAATAGCAGTTCGATTGATAAAAAAGAAGTCTTGCTAGATTAAGATTGATGTTAAAATGCCTGATTGTACATAGATTTATTATTAATATAAAATGCATACATGCCCATAGACTGTTTTATGTACGTTCAGGAAGCGTCGGGGCAGGCAGTTCTGCACTTAAAAGAACCCTGTGGTTAATTCCTTTTTCCCCACATTGATTTAGATCCTGAGATAAAGTTAGATGTCTGTTCTAGCATTTCAGTTAACTTACTCACTTCTGCCCTATTTCCAGAGCAGGGAATTCACACCATGCAAAAATCCAGCTTTTTAAAACACAGTGTTTCCAGCATTATTCAGAATGTGCTAACAGTGGCCTCTTTCCAAAACTGGAAATAACACTAATAGAGTGACACGCTTTCAGTATGGTTGCTAATTGCGATCAGAATTAAAAAAGTTGGGGCCAGGCAGAGAACGAAAACCTTTATTCTCTTTCTTCTCTTCAAGTAGGTCATCCTTTATCTCATCCCCAGCTACCTGCCTTCTAATTTATACCTTTTAGCACTCAAAAGCCGTTTGTTTCACTGACGGTATCAGGACTGATTTTTAAGTATCTTCTTTATACCTCATTTCTATGCCTTTTTTTTTTTTTTATTTCTTTCTCAGAAAACTCTTCCATTGTGCTGGTTATTTTTTTCTTTAACTGAGGGCTCCTGCAAGTCTGTTCATTTCCGTTGAGACTGCTCCAATCCCCAGAGCTTTTCTCTACATATATTTTCAAAGTTCAGCATAGTTCTTTCTGCCCTATATTGCAAGCTTTCTAACAACTTCCTATTGTGCCAGGCATGGCAAATTAAATGTTTAAAAACTTCCTTTTAAACATATAACTCACTAGAAGTTTTCAGAAGGTCTCACCAGAACCTCATCCTGCATAAGGACTTCTAATGATGCTACTTTTTTTTTTTTCCCAGCAATACCCAAGGATCTATCAACAGTAAGCCCTAAATCCATTTCATTATTTGGCATACTGTCTCAAACACACTATAGGATGGTACTTTTGCTCATGCTGTGCCGAATATTTCCTTTAATCACCAAGAAATCTCTGGGTAGATTCCTTTGCCTCCCTCACCAGCTGCACTGTCCCAGCTCCTTCCATCTTAACTGACTCTCCACTCCATCAGCATCCCATGCAAGCATCTCAGTGCTAAAGCTGAACTCCAGGACCCATATATTTCTGCTATTCTCCAAAGTCCTTTGTCATGGTATTAGCAGCCTCAGGAGACCATTTTTCCCTTTCTCTTGTTCATATTTAGATGGTGTAACCTACATACAGGATGCGATTGACTTGATGATCTTAGAGGTCTTTTCCAACATAAATGATTCTATGATTCTAATATTTCTACTCCTTTTCACTATTAAATCCTCATTTCATGGGCTATCCCATCAGGTTTCCTCCAGCCTTGTCCTGACAGCCCTCAGACAGAGTCCCAGAGCTCAGTACAATCAAGGGAGTCAGTACAGTCAAGATTGCAATACAGGCAGCTGGCTTGTCCTCCTGAGCAGGCAGGAACAATCCATAAGCCCTCCTGATCTTGGATATGTATAAAAAGACACTATTTACAGAAATAACACTGCAATGTTCAAGAGCTGGGTTGCTAGTGCATACTTTTGGAAGGACAGAGAATAAAAGACATCAGCACATCAAAATTATTGTTACACTTCCTCACTTTCCATTCTCTCACTGGATGAAGGTGAAAGGGGAGGGGAGGAGCACCCAAGTGGTTCTTTGCACCAACAGCCTGATCCAGAGGTTAGTCAATCAGTTAAGCTCTGATACCTTCAGCGTTGCAGTATTTCAGTGAACATTTTATGCTTCCAGTCAGAATCCACTTAATCCTGACTGACTTGTGAATTTCCTCTCTTTTTTTTTTTTTTGCCAGGCAATATTAAGGATCACACAGAAACAACTGAAAATGAAAGACTGTAGTCAATAGCACAATATTTTTAAGGTCAAAATTCCCAGTTGTACTACTGATTTTAAGTAGTATTCATGTGAAAACCAGAACTGATCTCATAAAAAACCTGTCCAGCAAAGTAGCAATCTCTTTGAGCCGTAGTGTTACCTAATTAAATGCTAAATTTTGACCATCTGTCATTTTAATCTGTGAGTTCTCCTCACAGGTAAAAATAAACCAAGGATGTAATGTTAAAGCAAGTCTTAGAGCTGTGGTGCAACCCAAGTAGAGGGAGTGAGGGGGTTTGAGAGCATGTGGGAGAGGGGAGAATTAATACACAGCCTGTCTAGGTACACAAGGAGGCTCTACATCACTTGTAGGAAAGGCACTGGCCGGGACACCCAAGGTGTGCACAGCAAGATCCTGTGCCCTGGGCAGTGGCTGGCACCTGTTAGCTCCCCCAGAAGAAAGAGGGTTAATAGATCTGAGACATGCAGGATGTAGCTCCAACTTTGCTGCTGTGCCAGACTAACTACACATCGTCCTTTGCTCACAGCTTCTTCCAAAGCCATAATTAAGTTCTTAGTTGAAAAAGAAGGGGAAGAAAAGAAGTAATTATGTCTTGAGGTCAAGTCTTACAACGAAAATCAAACAGAGATCAAATATCCCCGAGACTGTTGGAGGAGTTTGGTTTTGAAATTCATGGCTGGGGCCCATCATTGATACAAAATTTTCATTGCTATTCTTACAAAGTAGAACATTTCAACATGATTTTAGTTCAATGACTTTCAAAGGGAACACTGCACTTAACACAAGAGGAAGCCTTACCCTTAGCCTTCTCTCAAAAGTGGAGATATTGCCTTTGGTCTGCTCCCTCCTTTGCCTCCATTCAATGAGGTTTGAGTTATGCTCTCCAGGAAGGGAAATATTGCACTTCCCTAGCGTGGGGCTGACAACCCCTGCTAGAATGTGAGGTTCCGTGTTCAGTGTGATTTCCATTCCACTGGCAAAGGTGACTCTCAGAGACCCATCTGGGCTGACCCGGTAGATGTTCTGTGTGTTATCTGTCAAAAAACAACCAAAACCAGGGAACAGAGAGAAGTTCAGGTCTGCAGATTTACAAACCAAATGTTAGGTGCAACAGAGCTTTGTTAGCCAGGGAGGTTACAGACAGCTGAACACACACCAACTGCAGTGTGAGTTTTGTAACCTCCAGGTCTTCCCATGTCTGAAGAGGTTTTCATTACATGGCCTGATGATTTCCATGTGAAGGTTTCCTGCAGCAGGAATAAAGTATTTTTGCTTTCAGCTTAAAAGTATGTAAACCCATAGGCTGAGTATTGACCACTGATATTGTGACAATTTTAGCATGTTGGGATCTGTCAACAGGTTGAATGATTGCAAGAGTATGTGAGGTCAAGCATGAAAGCTATTTTCTAGATGTCTAGGGTGATGGCCAGTCTCCCATTCTGTCCCTTTTCCCTGCACCACTGTACCAAGACCTGGTCAGAGTGGGGCTATGTAGGCAGGAGGTTCCTGCAGCTCAGCTGCCAGGGGGAACTCCACCATAAGCCTGAGAGTTTAGTGCTAACAGACAAAACAAAAGTCTCACCCTTACAGTGAAGCTGAACTCACTCCAGTTAGGGACTATCCAAAGCATCTTTTTTTTTTTAAGCTGGTCCACACAGAAGTAACCGGTCCAGCTCTTGAGGTGTAAATGCGTGGAAAACTGTTGGGTATGCCAGAAAGTGAAGATAATTGGATGTAAGGATGCAACACAAGACTGGTTGCTCACAGGGTGCTTTGTGATAGTGTTGCAGAGATATGAAAATATGCTAATTATATGAATTTATAAATATGACAGGTATAATCATAACTAGAGCTGTTAGTTTCTGGCACTGCCCATAGTATGCAAGCATTTTCCTGAGACAGACTTTGATAATATACCAAGTTTGAGAAGTTTCAGATTTAAGGACAGACATAAAATCAGGTAGTAGATGAGGCAGAGTGTAGATGGAGTCACTTGGACAAAGCCTAACAGGTGACACAACAGTATAATATAATTATTTCCACTTATACAATGCTGAATCTGTCATGCAATAGTAGAGAGGAATGAGTGGGTATCTTGTGAGGTGAGTTCTTCCTATTTTTTTCTTATAGATCAAAAGTTGAGAAGAAGAAAACTTCTGTGACGTGCTCAGTTACAAAGCTTTTCTGTAGCAGACCTGGAAGGAAATCGGAGAGCTATTTCCCAGCACCTGCAAAGCCTGAACAATCCACTGACAACAAAAAAAACCTCAACAAGGACAAAAGCCCCCAGACTGATAAAACTGTATAAAACCATATAAAACCAGAACTTTGGTGATGAATCTGCAAAATCTGGAGGAGGACACTGGGGCATTTCCATTAGGCTGAGAGCAATTTTTTTTTAAGAGATATGACATTGGCAGGGGAATACTGTGAAGTCTACAGGGGTTGAGTCAAAATCTCATCCCCAAGGCAGTCACTAGCAGAGGTGGGTCATGTTTTTCCCCTTCCTACAAGCTCTGTCACCAGGGCACAGAACTACCAGAAAGAATTCACAGCATTGGACAAACAAGGTATTTCAGGGCTAAAATGTCAGTGGAACTTGTCCTTCTTCTGGGAAGTATTTCTGAGAATAACAAAGCTCAGTATATTAGAGTTTATTCCAAGTCCTCCAGATACTAAAGCAGAAAGCAGCATGTAAAGGCTGCAGACATCGGAGATTTCAATAACTAGATTCCATGCATGGGATTCTTCTAGGAGGAAAAGAATTCACTTGTGGTTTGTTTCTAATTGGTACCCTAGGAGAATTGTAAGCAGTATCTAGCTGTTTGTGCTGAAGCAAGGAAGAAACAAATGAACTAATTCTAATGTCCTTCCTTTTGGCAAACAGTTAAGAACGCACTAATGTCTGGGGTTTGAAACACAATGATTAGGGGAGAAATAACAGAAATGCTTTCATTACCTTGTTTTAAAGTATATATTGTAGAGGTAGCTGAGAAGTTTGTGGCTGTGATCACATTCTCTCTGTTTGAAGTATCAAGTTCCACTCGTGTCAGTTTTTCAACATCGCTGTGGAAACTGCTGACTTCCCCAGTTGGGAAGGTTGCATTGGTCAGATGGCCATCAGAGTCATACCTGCAAGACATGATGTTAAAGAGCCATGAAAGTACATAACTATTGTCATGTAAGAGACTTCTAAAAGCAAAAGAAGAGGGAAAAAAGTAAGAAGCATTGTCAACACTGTGCAATAAGTTAAAAAGGTAATAACTGTTCCATTTATTCACTCAAAATGCATTCTGTCCCTATTCTGAATTCCTGCTTAGAGGCTCTTTCAGTGGTGCTGGATAAAATACGACTGGAAATCTTTAAGATGGCACCTACATCACTCAGCTTCTGACAGGTTTTCTGTGCTGGTTGGGGTTTCCCCCACTGGGCTGTGATGCAGGAGTGAGGCCACTGGAGGTCACTCGGTGTTCGGGCAACCAACTCAACCCCAAAAACGCTGTTTCATACCCATAGGATTAAATAAAAATTCTTACATTCTGAAATATTTAAAAACTGCCTTTTGTCACCGATGGGTGAAGTGCATAATAAGAATGGTGAATATAAAAAGGGGATCTAAAGTGTAACAATAGCAATAAAATTAGATTGAAATCTGCAGCAATTAAGTTGCCTACATGGGTTTTACTCCTGTGTTACTTTTCCCACAGGTCTACTCAAATCAGCAGGAGCTTCTCATCAGAAGTACCAGCACCAGAATCTAGAGCACCACATTCCAGTTCACCTAAACTTCATCAGTGCTAAAGAAATTCTTGTAGTTTAAGGTACTTGATGTGAATCAGGTCATGTTATCAAAAAGTCAGTAATTAATTCCAAAGCTCTGGAGCAGCATTTCTAACAGGTCTTTTTAGTTCTACCAATATATTTGTTCTTTCTGATAGTTCACACAGAAACCAGTGCAGAACATTACTTGGTGCTTGATACTGTTTCATATTAATGCCTCACATCTTAAAAACCTTATTGATGCTGACATGTTTTTATTCATGTAAGACAACTCACTGATATTGCAGATGTGTTTGCATGAGCAAAACCAACTCATGTTCATAAAACAGAAACTTATTTGTGCAGGTAGGAAAGCATAATTAAGTTTTCAAGTTCTATTAACTGTCTCCTCTCATTGACAAAACGTATCTTCAGCTGGTCTATCAGCTGGCAAAGCTGCAGTGCCTTCAAAGGAGCTCTTCCAATTCACATCAGCAGACAATGTGGCTATATCCTTCTCTTTAAGGTGTTGGCATAATTTCCTTAGGATCTTTATTTGACCCTAATTAGTCAGACAAAATCTACATGTTACAAGAAGTATTGGTGAAAAAAAGTCAGGATTTTTTCTCTTCCTTCCAATATAAAAAAAAAAAATAGAATAGCTGTTCTTTTCTGATGAAACACTGGAAAATGAACTAGTGAGCATCTTGTGGCTTTTTTGACAAATAAAATTAATCAAATGCTAAATTCAACATAATCTCTTTTTCAGCTCTTAGTGGCCTCATATACATCACACAACTTATTTACATTCTACCCTTATGCTGCTCTGTGCAAGTTGACTGGGTGCTACAGGCAGCGATTAAAATTGACTCAATCACTACTTTTCATCATTAGAAAACTCCATGAACATTGGGCAGTTATATTTCATTTACTGCTTCATCAAACAGATATGACAGCTTGCTAGGGTATTTGGATTTACTACTGTATCATAGAAAAATCCCAAATAATGCATTTTTAAGGTGCAAATACAGCCAGTTTATTGGAATGTACTTGTGCACAAGACACAGGATCCATCTTCACTAAGGATCTAGTTTTGCTGCTGATGAGATACAAAACTCCCTGTGTAGCTGAAAATGGGATAAACTGTTCCTGGCTGGCTGGCCAGATAGGGTACTGAATCATAATGAGACCAGAGCACATGCCAACAGGCTCTTACTCGAGTAGATGGTCCCACTGACTTCAAGAAGGACATGCAGAATAGTGTCTCAGTATCGATTCCACAGTGTGATCATCTAAAGGGTTTTTTTCTTCCAGATTGCTCCAAGAAACCCAACCCTCTGAGGACAGGTTCTGTCACCTTCCACATGATGAATGGCAGCACACTGGGACTCAGCTCCTGCAGAGCAATGTCCTACCCATACTAATAGGGGTGGAATCATGACATATTTCTTAATGTTAATTTGGGGCTCAGTTATGCCACTGTTAATCATGTCAGTGACCATTTAATCATGCAAATAATTGCATTGATTTCAGTACCCACATGAGAAAGTGTTCACCAATATTTGAAATGCACACATGGGGATACAGCTTCACAATCCATTTGCATTTCTATGTGTAGCACAGTTAAGAGTTATATCATTTCAAAGGGAAAGCGGTCTAATTAATTTTTTCAGAGAGAGTTGTTTCTTGCAGGTGTTTTCTTGTCCTTGATTTAATAGAGGCCCAGTGGTCCCCCTCCCCTTTTACAGCTTTAATGATGCAATATTAAAAGAAATCTAGATGACTGAAAATTGTACATTAGCTATAATTTTATGCAAGAGCTCTTTCAGTACTTCCATTCCATCAGATTAGAGTAGATGTATGACAAGTACTTTTGTAGGTGGTTTTCTACCTCTTAATAATTTCCCTCTGTGAGTGAATCTGACATATAGGTAGATGTTCTGAACAGTTCATTATCTTTGCTCATATTCCCAAGTATATGTGATACGTGTTGTTAAACAAACTCATCTCTATTTCAGCTTGACAGTGCCATGGGTTGAACTTTTGGATGGGAATGCAAATCTAGCATAAGCAGAGAAGATGATTCCAAGCAATTTGAAATATGCTCACATGGTAATTCTCTTAGTTCCAATGCTACGTTCATATAAGAGCTTGCAAGCATTTCACATATAAGTAAGCCCTTCAAAAAATTCCAATTTTCAAGCTGAAATTGGCTGTCAGTACAGAATGTGACCTGTCTGGAAAATAATATCTGGTTAAAGGATAAAGAAGGACCATCACAGCCCGTGACCTATTCATGGCAGCAGGTGAGCAGCATCTCCTGAAAGCACACCGACTCAGCACAGTGCTGATTAGAGCCTCCTGCCCCTCTGACTGCAGCACATTGGGTGACATTCTGTGACATTCTGTGTATCAGTCGTTCAGGAACTCGTAATATATTATGAATATGACATAAAATATTGGACTGAACATAAATATTAATGACATGGCTTCACCATTTAATTTTGTTATTGTTTTTGCAATGCTAAGAGTTGTATTTCTGTTCATTTCTGTTCTGTTTCGTTTTCATTGACTGATCTGGGCTGGCAGAAGTGTGGAGTCATGCAAAGTCTGGACAACTCGAAGCATTGGTGAGGACAGTGTTGCCTATCCTATAGTTAAACCTGTGAAAGCATGTAAAACTGTTTCATTTAGCAAAATTTCTTGTTAATCATATACAGCTTATCAATCCTCCCAAGGCACGGGTATTTCTTCATGAAGAAACCAATATTACATACAATGGGAGGCACTTGCAAACAGGTAAAGTCCTTTAAAAGATCTTACTACACTTGAGTCATACTTTAGGGAGAAGAACAAACAATAATTGTGTGAAATGGTTTATACTCTGTCAGCGTGAGAGAGTAAAATACTGAGATTGAAAGGCACATGACTAAAAATAATCTGCTCTCACATGCTCTAACAATCAAGGCCCTGCAACAATGCATGGTGTTCAGCATTTACAAGTAACAGACGTGACTTGGAGCTACTGTAAAGGCTTTCTGAAAGTGTCATTGGTCCATGGTCTGGACTGACACCATCCTCAAGTGGGGATTTAAATGGGTCACTCTCAGTGCTGAAATTATTACTCCTTAAGGACTCTGAACTAGGACTGCAATGTTAACATGATTTCCATCCAACACGTGTTGCATCCTCAAACAGGGATTATGACAATTAATTATAAGTAATGAGAAATCCTAATACATCACACCTCTTTATAAATAAAAAATGAACTTTCTCTGGGTTTGTTCTCTCTCTGGGACCAGACCAGGATGTTCTGACTGCATCTTTAACTGTCTTGTCTTGCTTTTTAGAAGTCCTGTCGGTGGTCTTGCTTTTGAAGCCTCTTCTTATATATACAGCCTTTTGCTATTACATATCCTTTTGCTATTATATATCCTCTTTCCTGCTGATAGAGACAAGCTCCCTCTTGTCTTTGAATATTCCTTCCACTGAGATTCTCAATTTCCTTTGCAACACTCCCTTCTCTGATGAGTATGCTAATTTTCCTGGTTTTGCCTTGCTGAAGAATTTTGCAAATTTCTGATTCATATCACAATTTGCCTCTACCTCTTTAGTTACAAAAAAATCTCCACTATCATATTTTCATTTAGAGAAACAGATGCACAATATGAAAGTGCAAATGAAGTATAATTTCAGGCAGTTTTTGCTTTACGTAATGGGCACAATGCACAGAGCTTTTACATATGACAGGCTTTGGCATCTAAGAAATTTCATTTTAAAAGCTTGTGCAACAGCACTATTTGTCCTCTCTCACACAGTGTTAGTAGCAGGGTTTCTTTTTAAATTACTAGAACTGTCAAAAAAGTTTCAGTATTGATTTAAACTACAGTTCCTTGCGTCAGGCATTTTATGTTATGGACTTACTCATACACAGTTGTCCACCCGTTTTCATCACTTTTGGTTGCTAAAAGCCCCGTGTTTCCAGGATATGTCATCAGAGCCAGGTTGTAGCCTTGGGCATAAACTCTTTTCAGAACCCCATTGCTGCTGATTGTCAGCCAGTACACTTGGCCCCCCGGCACGACGACCCACAGGGGCAGCCCACTCGTGTCCCTGCGGATGTGAACCGAGTTCCCGTTGCTGCTGGTGATGGTGCCAACATCCCCCTCCCCGCTGTAGGTGAAGTTGTAGATGTAGTCCCTGGTGATGAGGTTCAGCGTGTGCAGGTGGGTGCCGTTGATGGTGAACTGATACAGCTCCTGGTCTGCGGGCGATGCGATCTCGTACAGGTTGGTGTCGCTGAGGTGAGCCTTGTTCCGGCTCACGGCGCGGATGCGAACGTTGCCGAGGTCTGCTACGTACAGCGTGTCGTCAGGAGAGACTGCTAGGGAGGAAGGGGCTTTCAGCTTTGCATCTTTGGCATATCCACCATCACCTGGAGGAGAAACGGTAATTTTAGTAATCTCTAATATCCTTATTTAAGCTGTTCCCCTAAGCCTGACACACTGCCTCTCCTCAGTATCATTTACAGGTCAATAAACGGATATCCTCTTCCAGCTAATTGAATCCCTATTATCTAAGGTTGGTGCAATTCTAAATTAGTCTCAATGAAGACAAACAGGAATATAAATTATCTAATTCACAGTATTTTTGCTAAGCCCCAAACCCTGCTGTTCAGGAAAGGTTTAATGCAAAATTGTGAAAGAAAAAAACATGACACCTGAAGTTTAATTCCCTGCTTATTGTCTGTTGGCATGTATTTATAAAGTGAAATTGTGTTATAAATAAAACAAAAAGAAAATAAACCCCTGTAATTCAGCTAAAATGACATTGAAGTAAAGATTAGTTTATACTTATTAAAAACTCAACACTACAGGAAAACAAAATAAGAGCACAGTAGTCAAAAAGTGCCTCGAGAAACAATTCCTTTCAATATCTTTTGACAATTTACTTGTTTTGTGTAATTTAAGGTTTGAGGAGGGTATTTGCATTACCATGGGCTGTATGTGCCTACCAAAATGAGTTTACATGAGCAGGACCAGAAAGAAAGCATATTAAACCTTGCTCTTAAGAGAAAAACATTACTGTGTGTGTTGCTGTCTTTCTCCTGACTGAGACATGAAATTTGCTGGAGTGTTCGAGCATAACCTATGCTTCCTGGGAGATGGACAAACTAGCAGATCTTTCTGCCAAGCTGATCCTGCCTTTCCCCAACCCAGCCCTGGCACAATCATTAGATTTGCCACAGTTTTTTATTTTTCAGCACTGAGTATAGTTTCTCTCAATAGGAACCCTGAACAGGATTCTTTTCAGCACTGATCTACCATAGCCACCACTAAAGCTGGCAGCCCTTGGCAATGCACAGGAGGCTTTGATTATCATTGCAATGCTGGGTCAGCAACACACCTTCTCTGCAAGACCATTTGCATTTTTTCCTCTCTGTTCTTGACATACTTAATGTTTTCTTGTCAGTAATTAACCTTTTACTTGAAATGAGAGGCTTAAGAATTATGATGACATTGTTATGGAGCTGAACATGGTGGTTCTTAAGAGATGACAAGATGGCAACACACTGCACACCTCTGTATGGCAATGCTGTCCTTCGTCCCATTCTGAAATATGCTTTTATGAAATAAAAAAGCCATGTTTTGTTTTGGCTCATACAGGGAAGAGAGCCTGAGAATGTGCAGTGGTGGACTGCAGGCCTGGCACTGGCTCTTCCAGCTTAAAACACACAAAGAAGAAATTCTGCACATTGTGTATTTGCACCATTTTGCTGGTAGTGCAGTGTGACTTGAGTGATGAGAAGGCATAAGCTAGTGTTTTGCACTGGATATGAAACACCTTGGTACTCTTCTTGGTGAGAAAGGCTGCCTGACCCAATAGCATTTAGGTACAATCTGCACTGGAGCTGGTACCATATTCAACCTGGGCAAACACAGCTGAAACAGCAAGGCAGACTTGGAACTAATTCTCAATGGTGTGTCACCTCTGTATCAAAAGAGGGAAAGCTAGGACCACCCTGACATTCCTCCAGTGGTAAGTGGAAGACTCAGATCTCAGAAGCCAAGGGATTAAATCCACAAAGGTGTGCTGATAAGGTTTTGAGCTATCCAAGGAAACAGAATCATTGCTTTTCTCCCCTTCCCCTTGTCACTTTGCTAATCTGCACCTGTGTCAAACAGATAACAGATATCTCAACAGATAACAGACAGGAAATAACCAGCACCTCCTTACCTGAAAAACAATCACAATTAGGATCAATCTTGCAGTCACAATCTGACGGGGCTCCAGCAATTACAGAGATTTCGCCATTGGTTGTGACCTGTTGGATACGGTTGATCTTCCTTTCATCCGTCTCTGCGATGTAGAGGATGCCGCTGTGGGACACGGCGATGGCCCTGGCTGACTCCAGGGTGGAATGGATGGCCACCTTGCTGACAATGAAGTGGTCAATGCCTGGCACCTGGCAGTGGATGGGGCGCCCAGCAATAATCCGCACACGCCTGTTCTCGGAGATCTGCAGGACAATGTTGTTGTCCAGGACATACAGTGAATTGTCCAGAGGGTTCACTGTGAGGTCTGTTGGCCACTCTAAACGCACCTGGAAAAAAACATTAAGGGGAAGGCAGGGAAAAGAAGGAAAAAGAATGATTAAGACAACCATCTCTGATCACCACATCATCAAGGCACTTGGCGGATTCTCACAGTACTACTTCTCTAAATGCCTTTAATTAGGTTTGGAAGAAGTTTCAACAAGCATACTCTTTTTTGAGGTCCTACTCCAGTGTGGAAGAGAATTTGATTTGAAAAGTAATTTAGCACCCTCTGAGAGGTATTTGCACAAGTCCATTAAAGTGGGAACTTTATTATACCTATGCAGTCATGCAAATAAAAACACACACTTCATGTCATGCAACATCAGCCAGAAAATTTTCCAGGTCTGAATGTTATTGTTTCAAGGTTGCAGTCAACGCTGGCAGAGTGGAAAACAGTGAGAGGTTGTCAATGTCGTAACACTTTAATTGACTGTTAGCACAAAAGGAAAATGACATACTAGAAGAGTAGGACACATTTTCACTATTTATTTACTTAGCAGGAAATGTTAATAAGACTTATATGTCACAAGAAATATAAGCTTGTTAATACTTTGTAACAAAATAATACACCAATATATCACACTTTGCATGATACAGTAGCCGAGCCTTAATTATTTATAATGATTTTGCTTTGTGAAATCAGTATTTCAGTCATGGATTAAGTAAATTCTTCATACTTAAGGTAGCTTTTGGTCTTTTTCCATGCAGGTGAGAGTGTCAACCAAGCAAAGTTTCCAAATCAAGCTGGAAGAAATAGTAGAAGACTGACCTCACTCATTTGACACTTGTTGCATCAGCATCTGGGGAAATTAAACATGCTCCAAAGTAAAGGTGGGGCTGCCTGTCAGCCTGAAAGACAACCAGCATGCAGGCTGCTGATTGCAGCATGTACTGGCCAGACCTTCAAAGCCCTCCCGCTGAGAAAGCTCAATAGACAGTGCAGGATTGCTGAACTGGGAAACAACAACAGAGCAGGCTGGTCCAGGCTGGTCCCTGTCCCCCACTCATGGCCAATGGAGGATTTGGACTGCAGCTTGCCTATGGAGAGGTCAGAGAACAACTGAGCCCCCGAGATTTCAAGAGAGCATATTTTTGTCTGTCTCAGGATGCTTTACTTGTTATCCTTCATGAAGAGATGGATGCTTTTATCTGAGTGGAATTTTTCTGTTCTAAATATTTCAGTCATCAGAAGAGAATAATTACCAGGCTAAAATGTAAAAGTTTTATATGCTTTATATGCCACAGAAGCTTTTATTATTTCACTTACTGATTTTGATGCTGGTTTTGCTCATTTTTGCACCGTGCTAATTAAAAGCCCTATGAATGTAGAGACTGCTGATGCTGATACAATGCTCAGCACTGAGGAACACCATATGGTGGAGAGTGTGGCCATCTCTACCCACCTGCTTGCCTGGGGTCAGCTCAGGAACCAGGCTGGAGGCCAAGTCTCTCCCTTTCTCAAGCAGCAGTATTTCCTGAATAATCTCATTTCCAGAATTACATTGCTGGTTTGGTAACTGATGTTTTAATAATGTGAGGGCATTGTGGCTACCGTGTCTCATCCTGCGTGGTTACCACACAATTAGGAGCAATCCAATTCTTCCTTGTGCCCAGTCCATTTTACCAGACAGCATCATAACTGGCATTAAGACTAATGCTGTTGGGCTCAAGATTTCTTCTGAACCAGGTGGTCAAGTCCTTCCAAATGACGATAAATGTGGTGAAACAGTTGGAAACAGATTCCTCCCATAACAATGCTGATTTCTGTGCATGTGTGACTGCCTGGATTCCACCCGTAAAGGCTGGTTTACACACTGATGTTAGCTCATGCTTCAGCTGAGATTTCACTGGGCACCAAATAAAACTCTTCAGTTAACATAAAAATCTCTACAAGGCTATCTCAAGGAAACTTGGAAAAACCCCATATTTGCAATTCACCTTTAAAGCAGAAAAATTGATTGCTCTGTTAAAGCAGATGGATTGTTTTTAATGGTAAACAAACACATTCAACTTTAGGGGTCTCCACAAATCGCAACGCTATACAAAGGATCTTTGATTAACCATAACTGGATTACTCAAGATAAAAAATTAGGGATGAAACTATCTGTCTTCATGACCTTGCCTAGCACCTGCCATGTCTCAATAGCTGATTTTCCTTTGTGGACCAGCTACACTGCCTTTGCCCAGCAAATAATTTGAATTCCTCCCACTGCAAAGGTAGGTTTGGTGTCCTGCAGATAAACAGGTACTGGTTTGGGCCTAAACCACTTTTTCTCTGGTTGATTTGAGTCTGATTTGGTTTATTGAGACAGAATAAACTCTTACGCAGCTGCACATTTAATTTGCAGAAATGTGCCTAAAGCTTAGTCTTAACAGCTGTTAACTGCAAGCATATTTGCTTTTGTACTGATCACATTTGTGAATCTAGCTGCATTGCAGTAAAAATAAATAAAATTTTATTTAGGAACATTCAAACGATTTTGGTAACTACAGGAGAACTGATGCCTAGCTCTCTGCTCTGCAAATCTAACTGAAGGTAGGCCTACAACTTCTCCTTCCTGGGCTTAAAGTGGTCATGGATGTATCAATGGTTTAATCTCAGCTGAAATATTAAAGGTAGCATACACTTGTCTGGAGATTGCAGCATAAAACCCAGGTGCTGCTCACTGCAAGCTTATGCTAGTGAAATTGGAGGGGAAGAAAGGTGAAATAGCCCAGTTCAAATCAAACATGCACACTAACACAAACCACTGAGCATTCCTAAACTGAAGAAGAATTTCACAGATTTAAAAAAAAATCTGCACTGTTCTTGACAGGATGAGTCTTCATGACATCTTGAACAGGTGTACATGGGGCCGCTGCTGTCCCACTTCATCCCTCCTCCCAGAGCAGCCCCCAACAGCAAGGCCAGTTTATGTGTTCCTACAGACAGCAGGTTCAAGACAGTTTGCTGGCTAAAAACTAATCACCTAAATCAGCTTAAGCTGAAGTTTAACTGCACCCTCAGGTTCCCTGTTACCTTGAAAAGTCACTGGTTGTTTACTTCTCGTTAAAGCAAGCTGCCCTCTGGCAGGTTCTGTGACCAAACCATCAGTTGTGCTTCATTCAAAGCCAATAAACATATTACAGAGAAGCACTTCAATTCTCATTTGATATGACTGTGCCTATTACAAAGTTTTTTCAGACAAAATTTCAGTTAGGATTAGAATATTAAATCAGTTAATATACCTTTTAATTTGAAGCAGTACTTCACAGGTCCCTGTAAAAAATCCTCTCCCACATATGTTTATTTTTCTTGTAACTCAAAATTGCACCAATTCCAAGCATTTCTTCTTGCATTTAATGGTGGTCTTTTTTTTTTTTTTTGAGCAGTGACCAGAAATGGCATTGCTGATTATCCCATTATAAACAAACAGCCAGAGTTTGTTCAGTAGCAGTCAAAACTTCACACTCTTCACAGACTGAAATTTTCAGGTGACAATCCTGGTTTGGTTCAAGGGAGACTTGAGTATATGCAATAGAAATCACTGACAAAACAAGTGAACCCTTGGGCAATGAGACCTTTTGCATATAAGTATTAACATGTCAACTTTTCTGGGAATTCAGCATTTGACTGTCAACATAAAGGCTCCAGCTAAATCTAATAATCCATCTCTGGTTTGAGAAGTCCAAAATTAACACCCACTGGTCTGGCTTTCTAATACATTTTTTCATGTCAAGTGCTCTAGAAAACACAAAGTGCACTAAGGTGGCTTCAGTTTAAATGAATTTTCACTGGGAGATCTACATTTAGGTAGTTAACTAGCTCTCAGACCTGAATCACATTTTTGAGTGGTTTTTTTCCTTGCAAAACACATGTGCTTCTATAACTATCTACCTACCTATCTGGTTTTGAAATATTAAAATATTTTTCTGCAAAGGAATCTCTGCTCCAGCACCAGGACCACCTCCTCCTTTCCTTCTTCACTGACCTGGGTGTCTGCAGAGCTGTTCCTCTCACATATTCTTACTCCTCTCTCTTGGCTGCTGCTGGTATTGCACAGGTATTTCTCTCCTTCTCAAATAAGTTATTCCAGAGGCACTCCCACTGTTGCTGATGCCTTGGCCAGTGGTGGGTCCATCTCAGAGCCGGCTGGCATTGGCTCCATTGGATGCAAGGGAAGCTCTGGCAGCTTCTCACAGAAGCCACCCCTGCAGCCCTTCTGCTACCAAAACCTTGCCATGCAAACCCAGTACATTTTCCTACAGCAAAGCTTTACAACTAAATAAATGAGTTTTTTGCAAAGGGGCATTGCCAGGAGAGTCCACACTCATATACTTAACCATACATGCCCACGGATGTACACACATCTACGTGTAAGTTTGTGAAGATTACTGTTTCACTTTTGGTTTTGACCACATGGCTAAAACTTTTTGCACATTTTGCATAACATTTGACAACTGTGCCATTTTCGGTACTGTTTTAAACAAATCAGATCAAACAAATTACACCGTTCATATCAAAGTAAGAAAAGTAAAAAGCGAAAAATTTATCCTTGTCTGCAGATGCCAGTTTCAAGAGCTTAACTGTTTGGTTGTGGGGGTAAATTTCACTGGGATAAGTTTCATTTATCATGGATTAAAAGAAGCTGCATAAATCCCTAAAAAAGCTTCACCATTGCTTTGATTTCTTGCCATGCACTGCTTGTTTATTTTGATTGAATTTCATGTAGTAGCATGAAATTCATGCCAAAATTTTTCTGATACTCTTGACTGATGGATTACTTCCTATCTGTGCCACTCAGCTTCAAGCACTTCTGTTTATGCTACCTTTGCCTTTATTCAGGTCTACAATGTGCACTTGCAGCCATGCTCATAGCCTCTTCCACATTTCTCTTTTGATGCTAACTTCCTTTTATATCTCCTCTAATTTATCATAGTATCATAGAATCTCCTGAGTGGGAAGGGACCCACAAGGATCATTGAGTCCAGATCCTGGCCCTGCACAGGGCAGCCCCAAAAATCA